ATGATATTTTCCAGGTAAGGTTATAAGTGGTGGTTGGTGTTCCATCCCCTAGTCAGCCCAGACAAGCCATTCTTATGGATGTAATGTTAACAAAAGAACTGAATCTGCCATCTACCCTTCAGTCCAAGGGCAATTTTGCGGAATGCTCAGAAAATGTTGTAGTATTTAAGTATAAGGAAAAATGCACAGTGTTGGCTATGACGTTACAAAGGCTCTTTAGCTAGTCTCTCTCTTCTTGCTTTGCAAACCCTAGGAAATCCTGAGGCTCAATTCTCACGCGCATTCCACCATGAATTCACATCATCACCTGATGTCTTTCCCCAAATGACACACATATGCAAAACCAAAAATAACAACAAGAGTAAAGAGTCTATTTTGAGAAGTTCGTACAACTAACAACCAAGATCTTTCCAAAGCCCAGGGTACATCTGTTTAAAAGTAAATATACAGAAGTCAAGAAATTAGATTCTTCTGTTATTTCCCTACTGGGAATTAGCAAGTGGTCCCTCAGTTTATATGGGTGTTAAAACAATTTTTCCATGGGTCTTTCTGATAACATGTGAGCAGTGATCTAACAGCTGGGGAAGAATTCTTGATTAATTCCTCCCCTGTGTGCTGTGTTCTGACTCCAAGGCCAGGAGCCCTTCCCCTGCACCGTCTTATCTTTCCCATGTTAAGGGTGCAGAGACTGAGACCTGGAGGTCAACGGCAATGAGCTAAGGATTTTTCTTGGGCTTGGGGAGTGGAAGAAAGGGCAGCAGTGAAGAAAGGAGGGACACCATTCAGCCAGTGAATCAAGGACTTTTCAGGGCACAGCCTTCTTTACAAGCACCTCAGTGACAAGCTCCCAGAAAAACTAGGTTTAATTTAATCTTTCCTGTCTTCCTGGTGTGGGGTCTTGTCTAATAATAACATTAAATTCCATTTGTGCGTGTTCAGCTTCACAACCTGCTCCTCCAGCAGCATGAGCTGCATGTGGCGTAATTAATGAAGGTTTGTAAAGTGTTTGCAACGGAGCCTAGCACCCTCATGACGATAAACATCACCACCACCATCATCATCACCATCCCTAAGTCAGTGGGATTATTCACATTTCAGTTTAGTTTTATTTATGTGTATGAATTGCCTTCACATTAAGAAGAAACAGTAAAATCTTTT